AAAGACGCCAAAAGATCTTTTGGTTTAATTTTTGAATCACGTATTTCAAACGTAACTACTTAAAATCACCTTGCATTAAAAATAAAATATATTATATATAAAACGTATTTAAGACATGCATATATGCTACTGCATATATTATATTCAAATAGGGTGTTTTTTGTATATATTAAAATTTTAAAAGACTTTGGCTATCTTGAAAATGTACTGTACCAAACATTTAGGAAATGCCATGATAAAGTCTGTCCATGCAACACCGAGTCAATCATCTTCCGTGTGTGCTCAGGCAAAGAGAATCCCACCTGAACCCCAACCCTCGCTAACCCAAACAAACTGTCTCGGCTCTCTCCCACAGGCAGCACCCAGGAAAAGGCAACTCCTGAGAACAACTCAGCCAAAACTACGGAAAACGTCTGAAATATAAGGGAGCGGTGTTGGCATTTTGCAAAACGGAAGCCAAGACACAGGGTGAATAAAAATTAGCATTGCTACGAAATTAGTCCTTTGATTTGCAAGAGTCCAGCTTAAGCCTTATGGAGACTCAGGACTTTCAAAACCCAGCTGACACCGTCGCCCACCGCAGCTCAGAGAATTCGGCATTTTTTGCATGTTGGGCCAAAGGAATCCAAGCTGGGCAAGAGCAAACAAGGAGAAAGAAAAAAAAAAATCTCCAAATGTTTGGAAGTTTTAATTTGTCTAAGTTTTAATTTGTCTAGCACTCACAGGAGCTCTGGGGTGAGACAAAGGTAGAATTCAACTTTCTAGGCACAACTCAACTACTTGAAACAGAAGGTCAAGTTTGTTGTTTTTTTTTCTGTTCCTGAAATCTTCGCTTTAGCTTTCATGCCTTGCAAATCCTAAAGGCAGTTATCTTCTCCTAATATTCAACCCAAATCTTTTTGTGATCCCTAACAGCTAAAGCAGAGAAGGCAGGAGTCCTGTAAAATAAAGATCATAATCACAGCATGAAGTGATTAAAGGCTGCAAATACATACAAAGCCACAAAAAGAACTTACACCACTGCAGAACGCCTTAATTCTGGTATTTCCACAATTTTGAGCGCTTGACATCAGGAGTCTTTGGCTTCGTTGATAATTTTTTAACAAAGTTGTGTGAAACTACGCATGTGTGAGGAAATGCTCCCTGAGTTTGAAAAAAAGACACAACGATACAGATGAAATTCCATAAACTGTGAGATTACTAGAATAAAATTCCACGGACTACAGAAATAAAACTGAATTGCTCCCATTTTCCCATTTTATCTGACCGAATTAAGAGGGTTGAGATAAATTTTACATTTTAAAAATAAATCTCAATTTAAAATGCTATTTCAAACATTATATTCCCTGTTTCACATGCTGCAGTGTCCAATTCCATTTGCTTATTCACTAGGAGAAAGTGAGATATACCCAAAGAAACGTTTCTTCCTGCCTAACACTCAAAATCACCCGTAAGTGCTTTCTAACACAAAACGTGTACAAAAATGTATTACTTGCCAGGGTTGCTGAGTCATGGGTTCTTTTTGCAGTTCCAGAAAATATTTCCTCAGGTGTTTAGATGAGAATTCTATGCAGATATACCGACAATTTATTTCCACTGAAAAAATGCAATACAGGAAAAAGCTGGAATAAAAGCCAACTAAAGAGAAGTCTAGAGACGAGGCAGCTGATCTTGCAGGACGCAACTAACGACCCAACACGGGTCGTTTTCCGCGGTGTTTTCCAAAATAGATCGTACGTGAAGACGAGCAGACAGAAATCTAACCAGCACCATCGTCGCAACGGCCAGGATTTATGTTTAAACTCTTGGCTGCCTTGCAAAATTTCAAAATTTTAGGAGATATTTTAAGCGGCGCTTCTGAAATGGAAGGAAGGAATCCACATCGGATCGTAACGAGACCTCATCATGAATAATTGGTCAGGCCACATCTATTCTTACTGAGTATTACCACATCCTAATATTGGATAAACAGGTTTATATTTCCTTTATTTTATTTTTAATCCGACTAAAACCAGCTTCCACATTCATTCTGAAGATCACCATTTAAAACCATGAGGAGATTCACGATTCGGAGTTCGGCCAGCCTGAAAGCGCGCCGTAAGCCTTTGGCAGGGTAGAGGGATAACGTTACAGAACTGGGAGAGCTCATGGGTTTACTTCAGCTTTCGTGCGACGTAACAAAACCGACGATGCTTTTGAGATGAGAGAGCTTGTCAGACCTTAGGAGTGAGCATCACCCGTTCCATAAAAGTGACAGCGAGTATTACCAGTAGAGACGCGGCTGCAGAATTACCAGCAGAGAAGCTGCTGCCCTCGTGCCCTCCAGCGAAGTCCCTGCCTGTCTTACTATTTGACAGGCAGGGTAATGTGGGAATATGCTCCGCTGCTGGGAAAACTGACACAATTGCTGGAGAGTCCCATCGCTGGTCTGAACAAAACAGAAGCAGCACGTCCAACGCCTGTGACAGACAGCAATTCAAAGCATATGTTTATTACCGCTAAACCGCATCCCTTGTACTGCTGACACCTGCAAGCGCTTTGCAGGAGCTGAAAATAAAACCACTGTCAGCAGGGCGTAGCTTTTCCTGAACATCCAAAATTAAAATTCGAAATTGGAAGTAAAAACTAAATGAACCATTCTATGGTACGTGCCGTGGTTTGTCTCATCAGTGAAACAGCGCAATTTACCTACCAACCAGGCCAGGGCTGAACAGAAAGGTATTCTTGGGGAATTTTAAAGTGATTTAAATTGGATCAAACCAGATGAAAAATGTCGAAGGAGTGAAAACTAAACAATAGCCTCCTTGGCCAAAGCTGGAAATTCTGTGCCATTTTGCTGCTCTAACCCGTACAACACTGTGACACACCAAAAATTGGATTTAGTGAGTGACTGAGAGATTGAAATTGCTGGTAGCTCAGGCTTGCAATTCATCCGCAGGTCAGGCAGAGTGCAGCAAACAATGCAACTTTCTCTACAATTTTCCTCTTCTGAGCTCTAAGCATATGTTTAGTGAGGGGCAGGAAAAGTCTTATCGTATCGGCTCCTCCTGGCTGCGAAAAGCTTCGCAAAATCATGATCCTAAAGCCATAGAGAATATTGAATTTGAAATGACGAAGCACATAAACAAAGCCCTAATCCCCTTAAACAAAAGACGTTCACATTGAGGCTGCAAGGAGTTTAACTCAACGCCACACATACTGTTGGAACTTGTTACACGGTACAGGATTAAACCACAAAAAAATTACACACACCCCCCCCCCAAAAAAAGAATTTTTAAACAGAGAGTAATACAGCTGTTTCAGAGACATTTCTCTGTGGAAAAGCTGTGAGAAAGCAACTTAACCAAACCACAAGGAGTCCCCGTAAGACAATTTTTCAGTATCTTTCATATTCATTATGTTTCGACTCAAATACAATTCAAATTGCTTGGGTTTGAAAGTGCAAAAGACTTTATTTACATTTACTCATTAAAAATCTCTATGAATACGAAAATCAGACTCAGTAACAAGCATTTTTTTGAAGTTGTAATAATCACTACGAAGACACAAAAGACATAAACTGCTTAGCCTTCAGAACATTGTATTTTTTGAACACACACCTTAAAACTACTACATGTCCTGCACTAAGTGAAGTCAATCATACTTAATTTACATGATAAAGTCTTTTAAAAATTGTATCTGGTACACAGTGTGCTAATCTCCTGGGAAACACATTTAGAAATTACAAACCCTGGGTTGTTGTGGGTTTTTTTTGTTTACTCAGAAGAAGCCAAGAAAATAGGATATGGAAGATTTTAACTAACGTTCTTGGGAACCCCTTTTAGTTGAAGCAGGTGACAGAAATTCAATAACAATTTTAATTCACTCTTGGAACGTCCGTTGCACGTAAGCCGTATTCGAGAGAGATTGATGTCCAAACTGTAGCGGACAGCTAATTTCCAATGTCTGTCTTCATATCTGCTTACAGAAGAACAATTTGATTAACTCCCCAGGGTGAAACCAAATACTCTATTTTTCCAGTTGGAAAGGGACACTAGCAAGCTCAAAAATAAGACCACTCTCTGACCATTTTCCACCCTCCATTCTTAAGGTTAACGACATGAAAGAGTTTAAGCACCCAAATATGCCACCGGTACGATGGCATCTTTGCAGGGCTGTGTCCCTGAGCATCCAAATACTGAGTCCCTTCATTACCCGTTAAAAAAAATCCCGTGGAATACAAAGAAATTGGAAGAACAGCCTGTAAAATTTCAGAATGACCTGTTATTTTAACACTGAGGTATCATTTATAATCTCAATTTATAAACCCAATTCTGAAAATCAACTGGGGAAGTGTCTTCTTCAGAGGTTATGGGGATGACCGAAAAGAATGCCAGCACTAAAGAAGCTTCTGTGCAGACAAAGAAAGAATCAAAATCTTTATTTTTCAAAAAGTTGGTACTACAGAAGCATACTATCACTGACAATATCAAAGAGAGTTAATCCACGTCAAAAACATAGTTCTAGTTTTACAAAGTTGTATTCGATCAAGGCATACCGATCAATAGGAAGCGTTAACAACCTTCATACAATTTTCCAGTGGGGAAAGAAAAAAAACCAAACAGGTTTAGTAATTCAAATCATCTTCATTTATTTAGAAAAACATGCATTTCCTATCCCTCTCCTCAGAGGTGTCTGTATTCTGCACTACTCCTAAAATCCTCATCAGTAAAATCACCAATCCTGGTACAGCATCCACAGTCGCTCCTTTCTCGGGGAGAACATAACGTGAAAAGGAAGCATTTAACTGGGATAATAAAATTCTCTTTATTGATTAAGAACATTTCCATTAATCATACATTCTGGTTTTTACCCGCTTTACAGGGAATCTGAACTCATCACTTCCCGACCTTCTCCGGCTTTGCCCCGTGCATACAGCATTTCAGCGCAAAACTCCAGGTGCTAAGTGAGACTGCAAAAACCAGAACACTTCAACTATTTCACAGGATGAATTAACTTACTTTGGAGGACGTAGAGTCACATTCCTGACAAATCCATCCGTAGCCAGTCTGCTTAGGAGATTTTTTCAAAGGAGGGTCTAGACAGCCGAAATGGTAGCAAAGTCGGCACTCATCACACCTGCAACAGAAAAAACCAACGCAGATATTTAAATGCAAATAGCATTTCTATACTATTTTAGATTGAGCTTCCCTGCAAGTCTCAGCACAAGATTTCGTGATACAGAAAATCTCGTTTTCTGTACGGGGTATTTTCAAACACCACTTCAAGTACTTTCAGTCTAATTTGGAATATTCTGATGCAGACACTCTTACATCACCTTACATGTATCTTCCTATATAAACAATATTATTTCAGAGACTTGCAAGTTCAAGAAAAAAATACAGCCAAAATATACACCAAAAATATACAACCAGCTCAACTTTTTAGATACTTTGATGACACTCCTTGCCATGTATTTTTAGAAATTTGAGGGTTTTTTAGACTGTAACAATATTGCTCTTTTTTAGTTTTAAGAAACCTCTTTACAGATCTAGTTTCCCAAGACAAACTCTGAACTGTTTTCTCACCCATCCAACAGTTCAGCTGTAATTTATGCCTATGAATTATATTTTTCTACACTAGGATAATGCGGTTGCTAAATAAATGGGCAAAACATTTTCTGATTTGCATTGAAATTTCTGGGACGGGGTGTTAATTTAGAAGGATTTCACTGAGATCTCTTACTTATTAAACTGTCCTATGTACACACAACAATTTAATGTTCTTTTTAAATAAACCTTTCATTAGTGTTCTGTACTGTGTCGGGTCCACATAAAAAGCTCAAAACATATATTGTTCTTAATGTATATACTTAATGTATATACTTATTCTTAACGTACCACCACTGAAGAAATGCTACAGTAGGACAAATCCTTCATGACAGGATTTTTAAATCAGTACAGTAAGATGCTCAAAATGAGAAAATTTTTTTGAAAAAAAATAAGAGACATTTTCATATATCCTACTGAACTTTATTTGCATACCCCCCTGTGTTCTTTTGCATGAAAAAGCATTTTTCACATTTCCTTTGCAATATTCCTCTCTTCATAAAACGCCCTTAAACTCTGAATTAAAGCCGATTTAAACGATCAAAGAACAGGAAACAGAGTAAATGTTTAAAATCAATTTTTCTAATTGATCTTCAACATTTTTTTTTTTTCCTCTGTCTCCCTGGCCTCTCATTTTGTCCTCCACAAAACATGCAAACACAGAAATCGCCAAGAATTGTAGGAGCAGCACGGCCACCATCAGCCCAAACACGGAGGGACACAATTCATCCACATGGTGCCTCACAGAGAGAGGATTCAAAGAGATTGCCATACTGAGAGAGGAAAACATTCATGTCACATTTTCCCCACGGGTTAGTCTCCAAAGAAAAAAAAATAACTGTTTTCTGATTACAATTGTTTAACCCAAGTAAATACTTTTGTCCTTGCTGGCATGGCGGCGCTTCCCAGCGAAGCCTTCTGGTTTTAGCAGTTCTAGGTAAGACACATTCATGCCACATTTTCCCCATGGGTTAGTCTCCAAAGAAAAAAGAAATAACTGTTTTCTGATTACAATTGTTTAACCCAAGTAAATACTTTTGTCCTTGCTGGCATGGCGGCGCTTCCCAGCGAAGCCTTCTGGTTTTAGCAGTTCTAGGTAAGACCAGTAAGAGTATTGCCTGTACAGCCTTGTGCTAAACAGAAATTAAAACCAATAATCTACCCACCCACGTTCTGCAATACTAGACTGATATAGCTTAGGTATTTTTTAAAAAATGGGATGTACCATATTACAATCTATATCCTTAGGATTGTTTAGTAATAAGTCAATGGAACTCCAGGATGAGAAAAACACTTAAAAAAAGGAAACCATTCAGTTTGTCAAGGCAGAGCAGTTCTAATGTGGAAATCTATTACTTACAATCAGGAATATACAGTTTTATTCCTTGTGAAGGCACACTAAAATAATAAAAAGGTGGAGAGCGGGAGGTGAGAGCAGTTACGCGCCTCCATCCCAACAGCGAGTGACCTTCGGCAAAAGATTAAGCGTCCTTTGAGTCTCAAAGTTCTCATCTGCAAGGGAATGTATTTTCACCAACTATTTCTAGATCAAGAATCTTATTCACACAAGCGCTTGCCCTTGTGCAGCGCTTATCAGAACCCTCTCCCTGCAAACTATTCGGGATTCTTTAAGCAGCACAAAATAAAACATCACACTATTTCTGGGTGTTCTAACGTGTTGTCAGAGCTTAATCCTAAAAATCTACATCCGCCTTCAAACAGTATTTAGATTTTTTTCCGAAGTGACTGTCGACAAACACATGTGTTTTATGTGTTCAAAAACGAACGTTTCCCCTTGAAAAATGACACGTTGTCATTTCTTCTTGCAGCTTTTCCATTTTTTTTATTTGGAACGTGCTATCTCCCGACTCCACCTTCAAGCCCGTTTCGGAAGGACACCGAGAGAGTCAGCAAGGCTGGGTTGAAATAAGCAGAACGTGATGAAATTAAATCCAGATCTGGAGGCACCAATGTAAAGCTGAATGTTTTAAATATTTATTGTCTTTAATTTTTACCACTTCAAAACTGTTTAGCTTGGCAGAAGAAAAACGGCATTTTCCTAGAACGAGCTAAAAATATAAAAATTTTCAGATACGAACAGCTTCTGTCTGCATCTGCCCAGCTGGGAAAATGCAAATAGCAGGAGCACACTTTCATGGATCAAAATATAAAAGGGCTGCATGGTGATAAAAATGAAACTAGACCAAATATTTTTAAACGCTTCCTTCCTTACTTACTGGCATTTTTTTGGAATACAAATCTTGTATTGTGGAACACAAATTCACAGATTCTTAAGTTTCCAGAGCACGATGCTGGAAAAAAAACAGATGAATACAAAGTGTACCTTGGTTAAAAGTGATACCTCAGCTGTGTGAAAACTCTCTTGTCTGCCGAGACTGACTTGGGACAAAATATGAAGCTTCCACAAATCACAGCACAGCAAACCAAACTGGCACCTTAATTCCTAATTCCAAAATAAAACCTTATACCTAGGTTAAAATGGTCTCCGTAAAATGAGATTAAGCCCTTGGGTATATACTCCTACTTGTTTTCTTTTGTCTGGCAACATAAAACAATAGAAAACCTGCTGTCAGATTCGGAAAAAAAATAAGAGAGCGATGCAAAATAAAGAGGGCTTTCGGTTTAATTATAGAATGAAACTGTTGGGTCACGAAAGGCGTCACGCTGACAGTCTTGCAGCCTTTCAGTAAATGCACTCAGAGCAATCACAAGACACATTTAGGAAGCAGAGGAGCCACAAGACACTGTCATTTACAAATATTATCCCCTTCCATTCTGAAGATGGCTTAATAGTGCAAGTTTAAGTACTGGGCTAGGCTGCGAAAAAGGGACAAAACCTACTTCTTCCATTTTCAAGGCTCAGTTAAAATCTTTACCCTTCTGGATCCAAGGTTACACCTTCAAAATAGTACTTAAATTAGTAAATACTTTATTGTGCTGTTTTTTTGTGGATAACTTTCCCTGTGCTTGAGTACATTTCCACATGCAACCGAGTGCTCGGTCATCTTCAGTGGCCTGGCTAGCAGTCGTGCCAAAAACTTTGCGAAAATAAAAACAGAGTTCCAGAGCAAGACAAGCCAAGCTAACCTCCTAAATTACCTCTAACTGGCAGGTAATTGCTTACTATCAATGTTTTAACAAGCCTGAAATTACTTCATGCATCAACATTAGAAGCTGCTGTGTTCCTCGTCCCAGCAATGAATGAGGATAGATATATGCCCGCTCTATAGCGACAAAACGGGGGGTGAAGAAGAAAGGTGAATTCTGAAGGGGTTAATAAATTAAAAAACAATAAAAGGAAACATTCTTATAAAAGTACAGAATGCAGGCCAGCTACATCTTCACAGCAAGGAAGTTTGATCGGGCATTTCCATACCTGAAATACGCCTGCTGTGCTCTTTAACGAAGCGATCTCCATCCGCTCGTGCCCTTGGATTGTTTTTATTAGTTTTTTTTAGCAGTACAGCTGGCCGTGCTCAAGCTCTACATAACTCTGCATTTTCCTGTTCATAATTAACTAATTATGCCCTAATCAATAGCGTAGATACTGATTTTACAATGGAAATGAGATAAATGAGATAATGGCCAGGGTCAATCTTATTTTATTTGCAAAGAACAGCACACACATCCAATTTCACGACGCTACAACCACCTGCACGGGAGGGAGCCTTATCAGCTGGCCTGCAGAAGTCTTCCTGCCAGCACTGGGGGAAAAAAAAAAAAAAAAAAGACCTGTGCTTTTACAGAGGAGCAGCAAATGCAAAATCTGCCGGCACGTTTATAAGTCACTGGTTAATCTCATCCAAAAGCCACAAACAGCTGATTCAGCTGGAGGAAGGAAACCCATTTGGCATTCATGAGACAGCATCACCCATCTATAGCTGTAAAAGTAATTACCTACACGTCCCTGAAACACAACATTAATAAGCTAATCTTTAAACGCAACTTTCTGAATACGCTTCGGAGACTACGGAAAATCTCTCACTTCTGTACACATCACTGCACACCGTCTGCAGCGTCATGCCAAAATGTACCATGTTGGACAAAACACAAAATTGCAAAATAGATACGCTACTCCCTATTCAGCGCCACAGCCTGAAGATTTACTTGAATGGGAAAATGCTATAAAACTTTTGGATGCCTGTTGCCAAACCATCATCGCTGTTAAAATGAGAGAACTCGACACACGAGCCTTACTCTGGCAAACGTAGAATGAATTAAAACCAAACTAGAAGGGATCTAATCTGCAACTTTTAAACTCTCGGAGAAGCGCAGGGGGCTGGGTGCGCATCCATTCACCCGCGAGCTGGGGGCTGCCACATCACGGCTATTCCGGCACCCGTGCGGATTGAGCTATTGATCCGCGTCTTTCCTAGACCCCATTTCGGACTAAAGCCTCTTCCCACCTGAGGAAGAGATGTTTCTTCCCAGGCACTGATCTCCCTCCTCTTTAATTCCTCACCTTCCGAGTGCTGGATGCAAACCACCGGAGACACGGGGGTTCACATG